GCCCCGCCCCCAACTATTCTCTGCCTCCCGAGTCACAGCTGATCGGGAGGAAATGGGGATTTTGCAGTATCCTTCCCCTGCCACGCCCACCAAGCCACCTCCACAGAACCGGCAGTAAAAAAAAAATTGAATCCCACCACTGGACCAAGTAGAGTTGGGCATAGAAATTTTAGGCAACTTCCAAGGGGAAAGGGCTTCTGGTAGTCTAAAGGAGAACACTTTCACTGTTTTCAGAACCACCAGCCAATCCTTCACTGCCTGCCAACCATATCTTTGCAGGATATTGATGGAACGATACCAAAAGGCCCTGGGAAAACTAGGGCAGCAGTGGAAGGCGCATTAGACGTAACCAACCAAGAGACAAGAGGGCCCATTGGTAGCATATCTCATAAATAGCCACGCAGCTCAGGTCACAACAAAACCGGGTAGAAACTATTGAAAACATTCCAAGAGACTCCACCTAAATGAACTCTCTAATACAGTCTTCTTGCATTTTCCAAGATTCTGCATTAACCCCTAACAGCAGCATTAAAGCCACCTTAGTGGCAGTGGCAGGTTGCTACCGGTTCGCCTCTGATCAGGCAAACTGGTAGCGGCAGTGGCAGGAGGCTCCGCCCACCAGCCCAGACACTTCATGAGCGCGCGCAAGAGCACCGGTAGCAAACTAAAATGAAAACCCACTACTGCTTAGTGGACTCTAGGTTCTTGTTGCCTCCTTGATCTTGACCAGCTGTTTGGACTTGTCAGGCATTCTCACATTACTTTTCAAAGCAGACACTAATTTGATGGCTGGCTTTTGAAAGACTAAGTTCTAGAAGTGACCACTGTAACACACATATACACCCATGTCCCTATTTACACCATAATTCTAACATGAAAGCTTACAACACAAGGATAAATATAGCTCTTCAGAGCATTCCATCTGGCCTAGGGGGCTCGAGCAAGGCCCTTCCTGCTCCCCAATGCTCCTCCACCCCAATTTTGCCTCCTCTGCTCTTTCCCATTAAGAGCCGGCTTGCCCCTCCTGGTGCTTGCAAGCTCCAGATTCGCATCCCAAACCTTGAACCTTTCCCAAGGATGAAAACACATGACAACAAGCATTGGGGATCCACTACTTGTCTGCCATTACTGGCTCTCATGTCCTTCACTCAGAATTAAGCCTTCAGATCTCCATCCAGCAAAGGAAGAAATGTCCAGAAGGCAAAAGAAATAGACCACAGGAATGACAGAGACTTCCTTCTCCCAAATCCTCTTCCTTTGGCGCTGTCTGGCCAATAGCGAGCAGACATTATGTCCTATTGTCCCATAAGCAGGATTCGGTCCTTTAACTAACTGCCACGTTTGAGAATGGGTAGACAAACGGTCCTTCAGTTTACTCAGATGCTTTGGCTCCGAAATAATAAAGCTCTATTCAAAGCTACATTCATATTTAGGTTTGTTTGTTTGTTCTCTTTCTCCCAAGACAACATCCCAAGACAACCTTTTAATCAGGGGTGAAATGCTACCGGTTCGGACAGATTTGGCTGAACCGGTAGCGATGGTGGCGGGTGGTTCGGAGAACTGGTAGTGATGGCAGGGTGAGGCTCCGCCCACTCACCCAGTCATCATGTGCCCGGTCACATGCACACCCAGTCACATGCACGCGCAGACCCTCGGCGCATGCGCAAACCCTTCTGCACATTCACCCTTTCTGGTTTTAACCAGAAAGTAACCTGTTTTTTATGCACTGCGCATACACAGAAGGATTTGTGCATGCACAGAGGGTCTGCGTGCGCATGTGACCCATGCACTTCCAAACCGGTAGGGAAGATAAGTAAATTTCACCCCTGCTTTTAATCCTACGGCTCCATTGTTGATCACCATAGCAGCCAATATTTTTGAACTTTTGAACTAGCAATAGCACTTAGACTTATATACCGCTTCACAGTGCTTTACAGCCCTCTCTAAGCAGTTTACAGAGTCAGCCTATGGCCCACAACAATCTGGTTCCTCATTTTACGCACCTCGGAAGGATGGAAGGCTGAGTCAATCTTGAGCCTGGTAAGATTTGAACTGCCGAACAGCAGCTAGCAGTCAGCTGAAGTAGCCTGCAGTGCTGCACTCTAACCACTGCGCCACCTCGGCTCTAGAATTAGAACTAGAACTAGAATTCACCTAAGGATGTATTCCCACCAACAAATGCAAAAGCTGTGGAATTCTCCTGTAGGGGCTGCTGAGAAAGAAGCATTCGACTTCTTTTGGCAGTGTTCCTATGCTGCAATATGTGCCCTCCCAAAATAAGCATGCATCCAGTGGTGGGCTGCTGCCAGTTTGGACCGGTTCAGGCTAACCGGTAGTTCCGACCAGGGCTGGCCCCGCCCACCCGCCCTGGCACTATCACATCCTATATAATCGCTGGTTTTTCAATGCCATGTGTATGTGTGGAAGGCACACGCGAGCGAAGCGAGAGAGAGCGTGTGCTCGCTCATATTTTCAGTTCCAGGCGAACCGGTTGTTACAACAGACAGCAGCCCACCCCTGCATGCATCATACATCCCTCTTTCCTCCATGCTTTATAGAACCCCAGTAATGTGAACAAGAGAGATTCAAGAGTGCAACAAAACAGGACATAATACGGATGTGTCTGCAATCAGAATACAGAATATAGATGTCTGTGCTGGATCTATCTGAAGATACATCACCTGATAAAGCACTCACCTTTTATCTGGTCATAATGCAATTCAATCTACATTCACTCAGAAGCAAATTCTACTCAGTCCAATAGAAATGTTTAAATGTTCGTTAAGTGGATATTTATTGGAACCCAGTCTTCGATTATGTATTCTTGCCCACTAACTACTGCTATTTTCTGACGTCTTTTGAAGTTCTTAAGAGGAAATCAGAAGGTCATGTGCATTGATCTACAAAAGACATCTATTTGAAGCAGGGGTGAAATGCTCCCGGTTCGGACCGGATCGCCCAATCCGGTAGCGATGGCGGTGGGTGGTTCAGAGAACCGATAGCAAACATCCCTGTCGTCCCCCCTCCCCCCGGGCCATGCCCAGCTGAGCTGCGCAATCATCAGAGGCTTTTTTTTTAATTTTAAAAGCATGTTTTCTACAACCTCTTCGGCCGAAAAAATACTTTTAAAAGTAAAAAAAAAAGCCTCTGATGATCGTGCAGCTCAGCTGGGATCGTCAGAGGCTTTTAAAAGCATTTTTTCTACAACCTCTTCGCCAGAAGAGGTTGTAGAAAAAAATGCTTTTAAAAGCCTCTGACGATCCCAGCTGAGTTGCCTGATCGTCAGAGGCTTTTAAAAGCATTATTTTTTACAACCTCTTCAGCTGAAGAAGTTGTAGAAAAAATGATTGTAAAAGAAAAAAAAAAGTTGGCCACGCCCACCCTGTCACATTACCACCCCCACCAAGCCACGCCCACAGAACCGGTAGTAACAAATTTTACATTTCACCACTGATTTGAAGGTGTTCCTCATTTATGGGAGTCTACTTATTACTTATTTGCCACCCACTTCCTAGGTCCAGGTGGCAAACAATAGGAAACCTCTCACACATAGAGGTTTCACAAATAGTACACACATAGACAATTAGAAACCCACTTAAGCAAAAGACCAACATTGTTCAGGAATTAGTTCTGTTTTATAAGGCAGCCTAGCATCATGCACAAGATGGCCTTCACCGCCTCCCGAACAGCTAATAAATTATAAAGTACAGCCCATCCTACATCCATCTTAAATGGGGGGAAGGGGGTTGAGATGAATGCTGAAGGGCTTTGAAATCACCCATCCACAACTGCATGCAGGAATTGTCACCTGGCCAAAGCCTTGTTGAAATACCTTTAATTTCTATATAAATTATAGTCATTATTTCCAAATCTCTACCTATACATTAATATAGGTACATCTCTACCTATAAATTAACTTGTGCAACCATCTTGCAAACTGCCATTCCTTTTTCTCCTTATTTTGAACAATGCATATGTGGGTCCCAACTCAGGAAGGCCAGGCAATTGCTGAATTAAAAAAAAATAAATAAATCTCAGTCCTCATCAACAGCCCAAGTCATTAGTTTCTTTCCCAGCCCTTTGCAATATCCAAAGGCTCTGAAAAATGAGGAAACGCATCAGTCATTTGCAGACCCACTAATTATAATCCTGTGCAATCTTGCAAAGGAATAATCTTCTCCAGACTCGATGGGATTTCCTTTGCCACTCAGCTTTATGGAAGGAAGCTGGGTTCAAACTTTTTATAGAGAAAAAGGCACCAGTGCCATGGCATTCCTTCCTCTTCCCTCAGCTATTCAGCCATTTAAATAACTGCCAATAATGCTGGCCAGCCCTCTATCCAGTGGTGGGTTGCCCCCGGTTCGGACCAGTTCGCAAGAACTGGTAGTAAAACCGGCGGGAGGCTCTGTCTACCGACCCAAACATCGTCAGGAAGCTTCTGCACATGCGGTCCTGTTGCGAACCAGTAGTAAAGGAAAGTAGAACCCATCCCTGCCTCTACCCCCTAGCACCTCCGATGATGCTGAAGTACAGTTTCCATAATCCCCTTCTAATCAAACCCAAGCTTTCCTCCCAAAAATCAGGTCCCAAGGACTGCAGCAAACAGGATGGGGATTGATTCCTTACTTTCTCTCTCTCTCTCTCTCTCTCTCTTTGCATTCTGCACAAATCCTGAACCCTGGACTAACCCCCAAACCTGTTCACACCTCCCTTCTCCATCTTTTCTTTTCTCTGATAACTGCTTCATTCAGTGCCCTACCAAAGATTGCTGACAGGTTAAGAGTTAAAACGCCCCACCTGAGGTGTTGTGGGATAAACTATCCCAATAGGCATCCAGGACCTCCCAAGGTTTAGCGGACAGAGAAGGAGAAAAATGCCCCTCCAGCTTTCTCTTTTTCTTTGCCGAGGCATGTCTCCCGAGTCCTTCTGAGCAGTTCAAGGCTGGTTCAGAGAACACACCTGCTGCGACGCCTGGCTTCCCAACCCTGTTCCCCACGTACCTATTGGCCGAGGTCTCCAATGCTATATTGCCTTTCCCTTCCACCGAGGTGCCATTCTGTGAATGCCCTGGATCGGCACCGTTCCGCTGTGCTCCTTCCCTTGGGCTGCTCTCCAGTCCCCGCGGAACTGCCAGGCTCTTAGTGGCAGGAGTTGCTATCAAGCTGCACACCTGACAGGTTTCCACCCCATGCAACCTGTTGCAGTTTTGGAATTCCTTGCACGCTGACAACCGAGAAGCCGGTCTGGCAGGTTTCTGGTGACGTTGTCCCTCTGTTTTCTCTAATTCAGCAACCCCCAGAGAAAGTGCTGCCTTCCCAGATGAGTGGCAAGGCGAGCTTTGCTCACCACAGCCGGCTGTGGGTTTGGCTTCCACGGCTTCTTCTTCTGACTTAGTCATTGTGATCATAATCTCGTAGCGAATTATTGAAGGATTCTTGGTTGGGGTGGTTTTTGCATCCTCTGCTGCTCCTGGAGGCCACTGAACGTGTGGGCCTGCCATGACACTCTTAAGTCTTGTTCCTTTGCCAAAATGTCCAGACTTTCTGGGCCCAGTGCTGTCACTAAATTCTGAATTCCTAATAGAAAGCAGAGACGTTTCTGATTTTAAATGAACTTCTAATATATTTTCAGAGAAAGACTTGGGAGCTTCACTAGTTTCTTCTTCTTCTATTTTGGATGCTGTTGGGCAGTCCAGAGAAGAATGGCTGATGGAGAAGGACTTATCTACCCAGAAATGCAGAGCGTCTAAGGATGTGGATGGGACCAAGTCTGACCACACAGAATCCATTTCACTTGGTTGAGATGGGAATTTCTCTTTCCCAGATCCTTGAGGTTGAGGGCAGACATCAGGTCTACTCTTCATATCCACACAGCTGCCAACAGCAGGTCTCTGAAGCCGCCCCAAAGACCAAGGATCACATGCTGCGTAATCAACACAATTTGAGAGCTCATAATGGCTGCTGCGGCGCTTGTGCCAAGCAAAATTTCTGAACTTGTTGAAGAGGCTGTTCTTCCAGAGACTGGGCTCCGAGGAGCTAAGTGAGCGGGTCTGTAGAATGGAAGGGAGAAGGTTGAGAAGGGAAGTGCAATTCTTTTTTTAAAAAATTGTTTTTATTAATAATTCAAATTTAAAAAACAATGGACATGGTTTGACATCTCCGGTTTCTAACATTTTCATCTAATTCAAATTAATAAATAATATATTCCTCAATCTATACATAAATTTACATATATCTTACTTCATTAATGTCAAACATACTACATAATTCCTCCTAAACAACTATATCCATATCCAATAAACCTATATCATACACACAAGTTCAGCATACATTGACATATATATTTCTAGACATTCACTACACCTTCTTCTTGGCATTCTTCCTCTTGTCTAACCATTCATATTTATTAATTCAACTTATTAATTCAACTCATATAATTTAGTCCAGATTTCATAAAGGGAAGTGCAATTCGAATGCTTCCAAGGCCTGTTTCTTGGGTCAGATGAGTAGGCATAGAGGCCAGATGGAGATTTAGTGGGCAGAAGGAATAACCTTGAGGCACAAGAGAAAAAGCCACAGCCAATACAATGGTCAGATAAATATGAGTCTGGGACAGAAGTGTAATTGTCTCAGACAAGACCCTCCCTTGTTCTCACAAAGATAAGGGGTTTTTTGGGGGGTTAGGGGGAAAGAAGCTTTTTCAGATTTACAAGATTCTGTCACTATAACTGTACATTAAAAATAGTATTGGCTAGCATGTAAATTGTGGCAGGTGCGACTAGAGGAGCTGAGTAACAGGAAAATAGTTTGAGTGGACCTGGGCAGCATCCTACCCATCCAGAGGTGCGTTAAAACTGGTTCATACCAGCTTGTGAGAGCCAGTTGTTAAATTTTCAGGAATTTTGGCAAGCTGATTGACAGCAGAGCTAAGCTGTTTGGTGGCTCATGCAGCAACGGAGCCAGATGTTATACAGGGAGTCCTCCTTTACAATTGCCTTGTTTAGTGACCATTTGCAGTTACAACAATGCTTTAAAAAGTAACTGATCAATCCATCACAGATCTGTTAAGCAAAGAAAAGAAAAGAAAAGCTGATTATAAACACAGTCGCAATTTCATTTAGTGGCTGCTTCACTTAATGATCAGGTTGCCAGTCCCAATTGCCATCACTAAGTGAGTACGTTTATCAGCACACCACTGCACCCAGCAATGAAACTCACAGGTCACTAATATCCCTCGGCCTCATAGGTTACTTAATAAATACAATAAGATAATTTCAGTGGGCCACTGAGATAGGTATGTATAAATACACAAATTGTTAAGACGGATGAGATGAGTTATCCAGATCTTCATGGCTACATAGACCACACTAAGCCAGGGTTGGTTAAATCAAAGTTTCTTTCACAAACTATAATTTTCTAGGTTTACCCAACAAGGTAAGCTAAACCTTGGCAGTTTTCAAACTACTTCTCCTTACTCAAGGATATACACACTACTACAAGCACCCATCCACTTTTCATTCTCTTCCTCCCTAAAATTTAGAAATAAAAGTGGCTTAGCTGGACTTCTCAGACCTAAAAATGATGTTATAATATTTTATAGATTGTTGCTGTATTTTTTACACTAGTTTGTAACTGGCCCAGTTTTTATTTTATTTCTATGTTTGTTTATTTGTTTGTTTGTTTGTTTGTTGAATTTATTTGTATGAAACAACAATGAACAGATTTTAATTAAATCATAAACAGATTATAAAATGGGTTGAGTGGGCGTAGAAAATTAGGGAAGGCAGAAAAAGAGGCCAAGCCCCTATTCTGGGCTTAGGAGCCCCACCTCTTCTAAACACTCTGGCTGCCATCCTATCTAAGTTACATTCCAGTCATGAGGACTGACAGCTTAGCTTCTGGGCCTTAACGCTAAAGTCAAAGTTGTCACGAATTCAAGTTCTATGGCACTAAAAAAACCCCAATTATGTAAAAATGTTCCCGGGGCAGACCTGCTATCGTGCAGCTGAATTTATCGTATGTATGGCTGCCCTAATTTTATTCTGCTTCCTTTTATATAATCCTCCTTGGCCCCTTTGCCAGGCCAGGAAGTGGGTGGTTTCTCCTGCAGCAGATGAAGCATGCCTGGATAGCAGCCATGCCTACCCTCAGGGCCAACTCCAGTGACTGAAAAACAGCTCAGGGGCACCCTACCCAGAGGAGCTGCTGAGGTAGCAGGAAACTAGATAATAAGCATCTTCTTGCTCCAATTCCACACACACCTTTGGAGAGTTCAGCTGCCATACATACCTGTAACTGTAACTGCCCCCAGGTGAGCCAGCTGCCTCCCAAACATGGCAGGGTCTGGGTTAGGAGCCCTTGGCCATACCATCGTGCTGGGGGGGGGGTGTCCTTTTTACCCCCTGCAGAAAAAGGTGGGATTTTGCTCATTATTTATTTATTTATTTATTTAATTTGATGTATATACCGCCCTTCTCCGGAGACTCAGGGCGGCTTACCAGTTGTTAAGCAATAGCCTTCATACTTTTGTATATTTTATACAAAGTCAGCTTATTGCCCCCACAAATTGGGTCCTCAATTTACCTACCTTAGAAAGGATGGAAGGCTGAGTCAACCTTGAGCCTGGTGAGATTCGAATTTACAGTAATTGCAGGCAGCTGGTGTTAATCACAATGCTATCAGTCTGCTGAGCCACCAGGCCCAGCATTGCTCATGGGGCATGTCAATGCATTGCAGTTCCACTTTGGGTGCCACTTTGGGACAGCTGGCAGGGGCAGAGGGAAGAAAACCCAGCAGAAAATCTGTAAGAAGGAACCAAGTGAGGCCCCAAAGTCTCTCTCACTAGCTCACTCTTTCATTTCTTTGCTCCTGTTATTTTTTTCTGGGTTGGGGAAGAGAAGGTGATGGCAGGATTGGGGGTCCAGAATGGATGCTGAGTCCTCCCAGGTAACATGGTGTCAATTATTTACCGTATTTTTCGGAGTATAAGACGCACCTTAGATTTTGGGGAGGAAAATAAGAAAAAAGCTTATTGGCGGGTAGATGGCCACCTGGAATACCCCTAATTAGCTGTTCCCAGAGGTGAATTTTAGCAAGAGGTTCCTTGGTTGTGAGCTCTGTGCCTTGCTTTTTTTGGCTTTTTTTTCTGCCTCTGAAACTTCTGAAACCCCGTTTCAGAAAAAACTTTCTTTTCTTGCCTCTGAAAGCCTCCGAAACAGAGCTTCAGAAAAAAAGCCTCTGAAGCTCTGTTTGGGGGCTTCTTTTCTGAAGCTTTGTTTCTGATGCTTTTTTCAGCCTCTGAAACCTCAATTTGAGAAGCTGGCATTCAGAGTATAAGATGCACCCAGATTTTCACCCTCTTTTTGGGGTGGGGGGGAAGGTGCGTTTTATACTCCAAAAAATACGGTACTTCTTTTTATTTTCAGTACTTTGATTTTTTAAAAAAATAATAGGATGTTAATATTTTTTAAATATTATATGAACTTGACTGCATTTGAAGTGAATTGAAATACTACATTTGCAACTAGCTGAGGCATCTCATCTACATGTGACCACAATTTATGGCGTAATTTTGGCCAGTTTCTGGCAAAAAAAAAAAAAAACCAACCCACCCATTTGCGAAAGTGGATTCAGATTTATGATCCTGAGATTTGTTTTAATGACCACTATAAAAATGGTTGAAAAATCAGGTCTGGTTACATGGTGTTTGACTTACGACCACTCTGATTTTCAGTGGGTTTTGCCAGTTTCCAGCATTTGCTTCCAATTTCTGGCAAATCACCCATTGTTAAAAATAGATTCACTTAATGACCACTACAAAAAAAAACCCACATAAAAACAGACGTCATGTGGTGATCCACTTAACAACTGCTATGACTTACGACTGTAATTCTGGGTTCATTTATGGTCATAAGTCAAGGACTATGACATTCTGAAGAGTAAGTGAGAGTTTCCGCTACTGCTGGTTGAAAAGTTCAGATCTTACAGAGCTGTGGAATAGACCAGATAAAATTAAAAATGAAGAAGAAATGTGGATGGAGGGTAACAGGTTATGATTATTTCAGATACCTCCAACAGAAGCATTAGAACAAGGGTGTCAAACTCGCGTCATCACGTTGTCGTCACATGACGTATCGCGACTTTCCCTCCCTTCTGTAAAATGGAGGTGGGGGTGGCCAGTGTGTGACGCATCCGGCCCATGGCCTGCGAGTTTGACACCTCTGCATTAGAAGATTAAAATTTGGGAAATAAAGCAGCCCAAAAGAAATTTGTGGAAATGGATGCTGTATCCATTCAATGCACTTAACCAAAATACTTAGAAACCTAATAACTACATTCAGACATGCTACGTTTAACCAGGTCATGACCTGAATGACTTAGAATCTATACATATATTTAATATACATTTAACCTGATTTTACCTTTTTTGCGTATGACTGTGTTGGGTGAATCCAGATCATCAGATTAGTTTATTGCTCAAAATATTGCATCATCTCAGAAACACAAGTGAAAAAGATTTGTGGGGGGGTGGGGGCGGGGGTGGGAATAGGATGGAGAAATTGGAAAAGAGAAGCTGGACAAGGATGATGTTGGGAGCAAGGAACTGCCCCTGGGTTTGGACAGCCAATAATATGCTTGGCAGCCGATCTCATTGGATATAGTATATGGTGTAAAATAACTGCCTGGAGCCAACCTTCTGTAGCCTAGTTCCTTTCAAAAGTATGTTGGACTTCACTTGCCATAATCAGAAGCCATGAAGGCCTTGCTGGCATGGAGCCAGGAGTGAAATGATCCCGGTTCGGACCGGATCACCCGATCCGGTAGCGATGGCGGCGGGTGGTTCAGAGAACCAGTAGCAAAAATCCCTGCCTCCCCCATGTCCAGCTGAGCCACGCGATCTTCAGAGGCTGTTTTTTTTTTACTTTTAAAAGTATTTTTTCTACAACCTCTTCAGCTGAAAAAATGCTTTTAAAAGTAAAAAAAAAAGCCTCTGATGATTGCGCGGCTCAGCTGGGATCGTCAGAGGCTTTTAAGAGCATTTTTTCCTGCAACCTGCTTTTAAAAACCTCTACTTTTAAAAGTAAAAAAAAAAAAAAGTTGGCCACGCCCACCCAGTCACATTACCCCACCACCACCAAGCCACGCCCACAGAATCGGTAGTAACAAATTTTACATTTCACCACTGCATGGAGCCCAGTTTTTCTAGAGGCCCTGTAGCCAAGCAGTTATGGGGTACAATGTAATCTACTACCAGCACCCCGTCTACCCAAGTTCACCCTCTTTTGCTAGAGCACTGATTATCTCAGATCTAAAAAGGCTGATCTATACTGTCTAGGAAACAAAGTTCTTTCTAGAGCAGGGGCATTAAACTCGATTTCATTGAGGGCCACATCAGGTTGTGTTTGACCTCGGGGGGTGGGGGCGAGAGGGTGTAGCCAGCTCGACGTCACTCCTGTCAGGGGCGCCTGGGGCGGCCCGACCGCTCTGCCAGCGAAAACGGACTCCCGAGCTCCGTTTTCGCGGGCAGAGGGTTGCAGGAGGCTGTGGCAGCCGAAAATGGAGCTCGGGAGCCCGTTTTCGCTGGCAGAAACACCGCGGATCAGTTCTTTGCTGTTTCCAGGGTGGCCCCGTGGGCCAGATCTAAGTACCCCGTGGGCCGTATCTGGCCCCCGGGCCTTCGGTTTGACACCCCTGTTCTAAGAGGATGCAGAAAACTGAATGCTCAACAAGCTGTATGCAAAGCAGGAGGACCTGCTCACTATATAAAAACGCTTGCCAAGTCTTCCCTCAGAAGGACCCACCTTACTCAGGGAGTGTTCAGTCAGATACGACACAGACACATATTTATAGATCTAGCTCATATTATCTGCCCTGAGTGTCGCTGCCTCTCCCACATTTTATACAGGAATGTTTTCTCAGCTCTATCCAGAGCCAATTTCCGTCTACACATGCCCCTTCACTGAGCTGTGAGGTAGACTTCATTTGGCTCAGGTGATTTTCCCCTAAGCTGGCAAGTCTGGCTCCAAGCCAGGAATGACAAGCACTCAAGGTTTTTTTAGGCCTATGCACTTCCCTCTAACAAAAGCAGAGCGGTGAGGGTAGGGGAGGGAGATTTATTAATCATTTTGAGAGCTTCATTAAAATGACTTTGAGCTGAATTAGTTAGTAACACACCCTTCCACAGCTTTGGGAGGAAGGAAGAGAACTCAGTGGCTCTGTAACCACCCCAACAGGTTCCGCTTCCATCTGACACTGGCAGTGCCACCAAGAGTGCCATAGATAGAGCAAAGCAACCCCGTGCGCCCTTTTTAATGGTTCTTTAGGGTATTGAAAACCTAGGATATTTTTATGCAATCTTGTTTTTTTCTGCCTGAAAGATTTTGCAACAACTGTTCTGCAAATCTCTTGATTTTCACTTTCTGTTGTAATTTCTCCGAGTTTGCTCCTGGTTGGAAGAATATCTCAAAAGCCCCCGTTTTGCTTTAGAAGTGCTGGGATGAAGTTTTCTCATTTACGTTGCTAAAGAAAAGCACAATAATTTCTGCAAACTTTGCAAGAGCTAATCGAATGCATCAAAGAGGTTTTGAGCACCACTCCTTGTATACCCACAGATTGTTCTTAAGTTAAGCAGGACAGGCTTTGCAAGACTTCTGAATCATTCAAATTAAAACTTTCATCCGAATCTTATAGTGAAAACACTTATATAGTCAGACAGTCTTCCCTTCCTATTCTCTTTTTGAAGTTACTGGATCACAAACCGAAGCCGAGTGGTGCATCTGAAAAACCAGTTTCTGCTTTAATGTGGATTTGCTCACTTCTGTCCTGTGTTCTTAAAAGTACAGATAGTCCTCAACTTTCAACAGTTTATTTAGTGACCGTTCAATGTTATAACGGCACTGGAAAAAATGACTTACGGCCCTTTTCCCCACGTATGGCCATTGCAGCATCCCTATGATCAAAATTTAGAGGCTTGGCAACTGGTTCCTATTTATGACGGTTGCAGTGTCCCGTGGTCATGTGACTCCCTTTTGTGACCTTCTGACAAGTATAGTCAATGGGGAAGCCAGATTCACTTAACAACCATGTTACTAACTTAAAATTGCAGTGATTCACTTAACAACTGTGGCAAGAAAGGTCATAAAATGGGATGAAATTCACCTAGCAAATGTCTTGATTAGCAACAGAAATGTTGGGCTCAATTGTGGTGGTTAAGTTAGGGACTGCCTGTAGCAAATATTCGATTTTATGATGCTCAGTTAAATTTGCAGCCAGCCAAATGGTCAGAGAAGCAGAGAAAGACTTTGATAATGAATGAAAGGTGCATTGAAAGAAGAGAGATCCGGTCATCCTGACTACGATCAGGATAATCAATATAAACACCTGCTAACAGTGTGTTAAGATACTATCACAGCATATATTAAAAGGAAGTACTTGTACATTGTTCGAAGGCCCAGCTCCCTACAGTTACACTCTGCTCTCAGTAGAGGGCACTCTTGTTCAGGGAAAGTAACCCATGAATTTTTCTAAACCTACAGAACAACTCAACATGTGCCTAAGGGGGTCTAAAAAGTCGAAGCCTAAAACATTAAAATTTGTAAACATGTAAAAATTGTAAAAAGATTGTTAAAAGGTAAGAATTAAAAGATTGCATCCCGGCAGGCAGGGAGAAGGTCAGAAACAAACTGGCGTGCTCTGCAGCTCCTGGAGAAATGTTCCTCAGCTTTCAGCATCTTTTAAGATTTGTCGGGACTTCAACTCCCAGAATCCCCCAACCAGCACGTTGGCTGGAGAATTCTGGGACAGGAAGTCTTCCCGTCTTCAAGTTGCCGAAGTTGACAAATGCCGTGCTGGATGGATATACCAACCACCCTCCACCTCCCAAAGTTCCCAGCAAAGAAAACATTTTTTTTTTCCAGTGCAATCTGCTTCGGAAAGCAGTAAGGCTGACCTTTGAGGTTGACTTCTGCCGCTTCTTGAAGGCCGAGGAGTCTGCAGCAACACGCTTCCCACGGGCAGAGCGCACATCCTTCTCCCTTGCTCTGGAGGAAAAAAAGGTTAAAACAAAGCCTTGAATTTAGGGAAAGCAGAGAGATCATAACGGCTGTTAGCTCAGTGGTCCATCTTTGCTTTAATACCTCTTCCTGTTAGAGACCGTCAACCTGGCGCTTTCCGAGTATTTGGGGTTCCCGCTCTTAAAAGACATAGCTCCAGCGAGGATGCAGCGCAAGGATGGTAGGTTGTGTTGCTCTGGGCAGCATCAACCAGATTAATTTTTGCTTCAGATTGCCAAGGGCAAGTTTCTCTCTCTCTCTCTCTCTCTCTCGACCAGTAGAGTAGATTAAGAATGAATGTGGCTGGCTTGGCTTGATGAACCCAGCCACACTGGTTCAGGGGCATCTGTAATGAGTCCCGCCAATTGTGGCTTACTCTCTCTCGTCCATATGTGTTTATGTATGCTTTGCAGTATGTCATAAGTCAAGAGCCAAGAGCTCCTACCTCGAACGCTGTAGTACTTTCTCCCCTCTAGCTGGTATCCTAAAAGATAAATAAAGCTACGATTAAAGTACGACGAAGCCACTCAGCCTGTGAAGCAGTCAAGACAAGAAGCACAGCTGGGAAGATGAGCTCTGCCTTTATTGTGAAGTTACATTCGCTGAATCTTGCAAGGCTGGAGGTATTCCTTCCTTCCTTCCTTCCTTCCTTCCTTCCTTCCTTTCCTTCCTTCCTTCCTTCCTTCCTCCCTCCCTCCCTCCCATCCTTATTGCTGAACTACAGTTTTTACCAGAACTCCCGAGTCTTCCTTCCTTTCTTTCCTCCTTCCTTCCTTCCTTCCTCCCACCCTCCCTCCTTCCCCCTCCCTCCCTTCCTCCCTCCTTCCCCCCTCCCTCCTTCCTTCCCTTCCTCCTCTTCTTCCTTCCTCCCTCCCTCCCTCCCTCCCATCCTTATTACTGAACTACAGTTTTTACCAGAACCCCTGAGTCTTCTTCTTCCTTCCTTCCTTCCTTCCTTCCTTCCCCCCTCCCTCCTTCCTTCCCTTCCTCCTCTCCTTCCTCCCTCCCTCCCTCCCTCCCATCCTTATTACTGAACTACAGTTTTTACCAGAACCCTGAGTCTTCCTTCCTTCCTTCCTTCCTTCCTTCCCTCTCCTCCTTCCTTCCCTTCCTCCTCTCCTTCCTCCTCTCCCTCCCTCCCTCCCATCCTTATTACTGAACTACAGTTTTTACCAGAACCCCTGAGTCTTCCTTCCTTCCTTCCTTCCTTCCTCCTTCCTTCCCCTCCCTCCTTCTTCCTCCTCTCCTTCCTCCCTCCCTCTCCCTCCCATCCTATTACTGAACTAGTTTTTACCAGAACCCCTGAGTCTTCCTTCCTTCCTTCCTTCCTTCCTTCCTTCCTTCCTTCCTTCCTTCCTCCCTCCCTCCCTCCCTCCCTCCCATCCTATTCTGAACTACAGTTTTTACCAGAACTGAGTCTTCCTTCCTTTCTTTCCTCCTTCCTTCCTTCCTTCCTCCCACCCTCCCTCCTTCCCCCTCCCTCCTTTCTTCCTTCCTCCCTCCCTCCCTCCCTCCCATCCTTATTACTGAACTACAGTTTTTACCAGAACCCCTGAGTCTTCCTTCCTTCCTTCCTTCCTTCCTTCCTTCCTTCCTTCCTTCCTTCCTTCCTTTCCTTCTCCATTTCTGGAGGGTTTTAAGAAGACATTGGACAGCTATTTGTCTGAAATGGTATAGGGCCGGGATGGCGAACCTATGACACCCGTGCCAGAGGTGGCACGCAGCACCCTCTCTGTGGGCACGCGAGTTCAGGTTCACTGCACATGTACATGAGCCTCCTGCTGGCCAGCTGGTCTTCGGGTCTCTGCTGTGCATGCGCAGGGGCGGAGTATGTATGTGGGGGGCACGTGTGCATGCACGGGGTAGGGTGCATGCATGGGGTCGTGCATGCATTGCATTTTGGGAGTTCGGGCGTGCGTGTGCTTTGGGCACTCGGTCCAGAAAAGGTTAGCCATCACTGGTATAGGGTTTCCTGCTTGAGCAGGGGGCTGGACTAGAAGACCTCCAAGGTCCCTTCTCCCCTCTTTTCCTTTACTCTCCGGAAAACTACGGAGGGTCCCTGCTGAGATGCTTCCCACACTTTCCCTCCTTCTGTAGGTTGAGATGTCTTTTACACACTGGTTGTCCAATCTGTGGCTCTCCCTCCTGTCTCCCAAAGTCATTTCCATAAACCATTACAGGTAGTCCTTGACTGATGACTATTGAGCCCAACATTTCTCCATTTTACGACCTGCCTGGTCACAGTTGTTAAGTGAATCAGTGCAGTTGTTAACTTAGTAATACGGTTGTTAAGTGAATCTGGCTTCCCCACTGACTTTTGCTCATCAGAAGGTTACAAAAGAGGATCAAGTAACCCAGTGGTGAAATGTAAAATTTGTTACTATCAGTTCTGTGGGTGAGGCTTGGTGGTGGTGGGGTTTAATGTGACTGGGTGGGCGTGGCCAACTTTTTTTTTTGTCCTTTTAAAAGCATTTTTTCTACAACCTCTTTGGCCGAAGAGGTTGTAGAAAAAAATGCTTTTAAAAGCCTCTGATGATGAGGCAACTCAGCTGGGATCAACAGAGGCTTTTAAAAGTATTTTTTTCTACAGCCTCTTCAGCCAAAGAGGTTGTAGAAAAAATGCTTTTAAAAGGACAAAAAAAAGCCTCTCAGTCCAGTCCGAACTGGGAGCATTTCACCCCTGACGTGACCCCAGGATATTTGAAACCTCATAAATATATGCCTGTTGCCAATCATGTAACCATGGGGAAGCTGTAACGGTTGTCTAAAAAACAGTTCATAACTCCCCTTTTTTCAGTGCCATTATGATTTCGAACAGTCACATGGTTTTAAGTTGAAAACTAGCTGTACACTAGTTTTTATGCCAAAGGGAAAGCTAGAATTCAGTCTTCTAGTCCAGTATCTTAGCTACCACACCAAAATGTCACGGTAGGGGGTAGTTTTCATTAGTACAGGGAGTCCTTGACTTACAACAGTTCATTTAGTGACCATGTGACTGATGAACATTTTTCACACTTACAATCCTTGCAGCATCTCTCTGGTCACGTGATCAAAATTCAGATGTTTAGCAATCGACTCATACTTACGACACTTGCAGTGTCGTGGGGGGGGTCATCTGATCCCCTTTTGCAACCTTCTGACAAGCAAAGTCAATGGGGAAGCTGGATCCGCTTAACAGCGGTGGTACTATTTTAACAAGTGCAGTTGATTCACTTAACAACTGTGGCAAGAAAGGTTGTAAAATGGGACAGAACTCACTTAACAAATGTCTCACTTAGCAGTAGAAACGTTGGGCTCCATTGTGGTCGTAAATCGAGGACTACCTGTATGCAGTAGCCCTATTTTATGACATTTCCTGCAGAGAAAGCATTTTGTATTTCCTCATTCCAGCACATATATTTTAAGACTGATATAAGGTCATACTATTAATTCTGCTGTTGTTATTATTTGCTGTTGGCTGGGTGCGCATTTAATTCCTGCTTATTTTGCTCTCTTCATTTTCACCGCACGCTTTCATCTTTTATGGCGCCAAATGAGAATCCTCCACTGTTGAGCAGGATAGACAAGCTATCCTTGTAAATAATTTAAATACATTTTGAGCGCAAAATTCTGACATTCTCAAGACTGGAGTTAGGTGACCGAATGGATTCCAAAGGATTGCAGAAGCCAGGCTGAAGTGCAGGGAAGACTGATCACAGGCAAAAGGGGAAGTAAAACAGCACCCCCCAAAAATGCCTTGGGGTAGAAACCAAAATAGAATCTGAAAGATGATCCCTCTAAGGTCCATGCAGTGACTCAGCTACTGCCTGTTTCCTGAAACAATCAAAAGTGCTTACGCCAACTTTTCTGAACTTAGTAGCCTCTGGGCATCTCGGATTCCAAGTCCCATAATGCCCTGGCAACATGGCCAGTGGCACATTGTTAGCATTTTTCAAAGTGCAAAGGAGAGCAATAAAGGTAGCTGAACTCTTGCAGACACGCTGGCGACATTCGCTTTGTCACGGATGCTGAATCAAATCAACATTTGTCATCAGACTTCGGCTATTCAGTAACTATCAGGCTTGTTTAGAGCCAGAGTTAGCAACTAAGGTGGAGAGGAGGGGGCTTCAATGAACTATTTTGTTCCTTCCCTTCATCCATTATGAATTTGTCCCTGAATTTCAATTCCCTGCTGAAATTTGGAAGCCACCAAGTGGCGTATAACAAGAAAACTGTTCCAGAAAACCGGTTTGGAAAAATAAATTGATGCCTAAAAATATTCCAGAGGTTACATAATTGAAAAGCAAGATGATGGCAATTATTTAAAGCTAGATTTTAAAAGGAATCTGTTTACTTTTTCAAGTGCAGGCTTTCTTTGTTTCAAAGAAGAACTGCACACATTGCTTTGAAATGCAGTATGGGTAATTCTGGACTTATGACCACCATTTGAGGCCAGAATTTCTGTTGTTAAGTGAGTCGTTCCCAATTTTATGACTTTTTGCCATGGTTGTTAAGTGAATCATTGCAGCTGCTAAGTGAATCATGCAGTTGTTAGTTGTTAGGGGACTGGTGGCTAAAACATATGAAGAACAGTTGCAAGAACTGGGCAAGGCTGGTCTAGTGAAGAGAAGGACCAGGGGAGACATGATAGCAGGGTTCCGATATTTGAGGGGCTGCTACAGAGAGGAGGGGGTCAAGCTATTTTCCAAAGCACCTGAAGGCCAGACAAGGAATAATGGATGGAAACGGATCAAGGAGAGATTCAACCTAGAAATAATGAGAAATTTTCTGACAGGGAGATCAACCAATGGGACAGAAGTTGCCTTCAGAAGTTGTGGGAGCTTCATCACTGGAAGCTTTTAAGAAGAGACTAGACTGCCATCTCTCAGAAATGGTTCAGGGCAGGGGTGAAATGTAAAATTTGTTACTACCTGTTCTGTGGGCATGACTTGGTGGGGAGGGTGTAATGTGACTGGGTGGGCATGGCCAACTTTTTTTTTTTTTAGCTTTTCAAAGCATTTTTTCTAATGCTTTGAAAAGCCTTTGCCGATCAGGCAACTCAGCTGGGATCGTCAGAGACTTTTCAAAACATTTTTTTTAACCACCTCTTCGGCCAAGAGGTTGCAGAAAAAAATGCTTTGAAAAGCCTCTGACGATCCCAGCTGAGCCGCGCGATCATTAGAGGCGCTTTTTTTTTACTTTTAAAAACATTTTTCCGTCGGAAGAGGTTGTAGAAAAAATGCTTTTAAAAGTTAAAAAAAGAAGCCTCTGATCGTACGGCTCAGCTGGGCATGGTGGTGGAGGCGCAGGGATTTTTGCTACCGGTTCTCCGAACCACCCGCCGCCATCGCTACCGGATCGGGCGATCCGGTCTGAACCGGGAGCATTTCACCCCTGGTTCAGGGTCTCCTGCTTGGGCGGGGGGTTGGACTAGATGACCTACAAGGTCCTTTCCAACTCTGTTAACCTGTTAAGCTCCTCCCATTCACTTTGCTTGCCAGAAGCCAAGTGGGAAGGTTGCAAATGCCAATCCCATTGGATACTGTAACTGTTGTAAATACATACTGATTGCCAAGCACCCAAATTTTGATCACATGACCATACAGATTCTGCATTGGTTGTAAGTGAAAGTACTGGTAGTAGGTCATTTTTTTCAGTGTCGTTGGAACAGTCACTGAACGAATGGCTGTAAGTCAAGGATTACCTGTACTTTCCTTGAGGTTAAAGTAGCAATGTGTGTATTAGCATCTTTCACAGAATTGGAACCCTGCATGTTCTTTTAAGAAAAAATTAAGCTGCCAAAAACTTGTATGAAAACATATATGCTCAGTTCATGCATTGTTTGAAACATGCAGTACTCATTTATTACACAAATAATTTTGTTTTTTTAAAAAAGAATGAGTAGTCAGTATAAGGCCTGCAAACCAGAGACCAAAGAGACAGCAGAGTTTAATTTCACCACTCCTAATTTCTCCTCCCATATCAGTGAGTTATTATATTATAAAGCATTATTTCTGCAATTGAAAATGACAGCAATGATGTCCCCTCACCATCAAGACAATGGGGACAGTGAAAGCAATGAAGAACAATACAAGTCTAAGGAATAGTGTGTTAACCAAAAGGGGGGGCTTTAATTATGGCATTTCCTATTTTTTTTATAAAATAAGAGGTAGCTTGAATAGCAATAGCAATAGCCCTTAGACTTATATACTGCTTCATAGTGCTTTACAGCTCTCTCTAAGTGGTTTACAGAGTCAGCCTATTGCCCCCAACAATCTGGGTCCTCATTTTACCCACCTCGGAAGGATGGAAGGCTGAATCAACCTTGAGCCGATCAGAGTCGAACTGCTGGCAGTGGGCAGAATTAGTTTGCAATGCTGCATTCTAACCACTGTGCCACCAGGGCTCCTGATAGCAATAGCACTTAGACTTATATATTGCTTCACAGTGCTTTACAGCCCTCTTTAAATGGTTTACAGAGTCAGCATCGTTCCCCCAACAATCTGGGTCCTCCTTTTACCCACTTGGGAAGGATGGAAGGCTGAGTCAATACTTTCAATCAATCAAACAGGATTTGAGCTTAATGCTCATGAACAAATCCATGCCTCACTTAGAGCCACAGTTCAGGTGTTGTGTATTCAAGAACAAACATCAGACTTTTGTCTTTCTTTGGCATTCAGGCAATAAACACATCCAAAGTCAGAACTTTAGGATTCCTGAATGTCTGAGAACTGCCAAGCCAGGAATCAAGTTTCAATAACATCAAATTATTGGGCAAGTTATCTTCACCAACCATTCCTCCATTGTGGTAGGGCCAATTGTTTCCATCTCTGTGCATACAGAAATCTCACAGCAGTTATTATACATAAAAACAAATTTCCATTACTTTTTTGCAAGTGTTTGTCCATCAATCCAAAAGAAAGATGTCTGATCTGAATTATATATTGATATCTAAAATCCTCTGAATCAGTAAATGCATTTGAATCCAGATTTTTCTAGCTTTTTTTTCATGTCCACCACGCATGATAAGAGAAAAATGCTGTACATGTTTCCAACATAAATTTGAAGCACAGTACACCATTTTTATAAATTCTGTTTAAGGTTATAATATAGTCTAAATTTCAATCCTTTCAACCACATATTTTCCCATTATTCCTTCTCTGTATTATAGCCAAAATGCTCAGCTCACTTCATCATGCATTTACTTGTTTTTCTTCTGTTTCAAATTTCAATAAAAGTTTACACATTTTATCCAAGGATGCCTGGAACTACTTTGGGACTATTTTGCATATGAAGATTCCACTTCACTTTTTTTTTCACTCCCATCATTTCACAATTAGAGTAATAATATCAGGATGCACTAGTAGTCCCATTATGAGTTTCCAGGTTATGTTTACAAACACACTGCATTTAACAAGATTAGTTAAGAATCTAGAGGCTGCATCTGCAGGGCATACTAGACATGAGATATGTATGCTGTGGGGTGGAGGGGTAGATGTTGGTGACTTTTGTCATATAAAATTAGATTAGTTTGTAATATAAACAGGTAGTCCTTGACTTACAACAATTGAGCCCAAAATTTCTGTTAGGTGAGACATTTCTTAAGTAGGTTTTGCCCCATTTAATGACCTTTCTTGTCACAGTCGTTAAGTGAATCTGCCTGCCCCATTGACTTTACTTGTTAAAAGGTTACAAAAGGAGATTGCATGATTCCGGGACACTGCAGCCGTCATAAATGTGAGTCAGTTGCCAAGTGTCTGGATTTTAATCATGTGACCATGGGGATGCTGTAACAAGTCATACATGTGAAAAACAGTCACTTTTTTCAGTGCAGTTGTAAACTTCAATCACTAAACAAACTGTTGATCATGGACTATCTGTACTGCAGTTCCAGGAAATGGGTCAGTTCAATCATTAATTTAAAAATCTTTTGCAAATACAACGCTGGAAAGAAATACACTCAAACCAGCCAACTGTATCCCCAGCCTGTTGCCTTTCAGAAGTTGAATTATAATTCCCATATCCCTGGACCATGTTGACTGGGGAATTAAGATTTGTAATCCGACAGATAGGAGGTGGGTTAGAGAATTTTGTGTAGAGGCATCTCTGGGCCTTTCCTGGACACTCACCCTTCAATGATTTTTTGCTTCCCGTCTTCCTTCCTTCCTTTGTCCATGCTGTAGTTGTGATGGACGGTTTCTCCCACCAAACTGGGACCGTTTTTATCCTCATTTCTTGAGTTATGAAGTTCTTTGAGGCCACGTTCACATCTTGACTCCAGGCCAGGCAGCTGCCTCCTGAAGCCCACCTTCTTAGTCAGTGAGGCAAATGTGGGTAAAAGGGGTGCCTGGCTCCCCATCCTGAGGTCGTTGGAAAGAAATGAATGAGCCAAGGCTGCCACGCTTCACACTCGCAGCCTGTTTGACCAAGGTGAACCTCACCGCTTCATTGCTGTAGCGAAGGTTTTTACCTTCTGTTCCTTTGCTTCCCAGCTGCTGGAAAAGATCCGGTTGCAAAGGTGTGACATGTGTTGACAGTTCCCAGGTGTGTCACTCTGGGATCCTGGCCAGCAGCTGAATTGTTCCGTCATTGGAAGTCTCACCAGAAAACTAATTTTATGTTCCTCAAACACAGCCAGTGTGGGGAGCTTCTAATGGGTAGTAGTAGTAAGTGCCACCGGGCACAGCTGAGAATAGGAAAAGGGTGTAGAGTTACGTACTGATAAAATCAAAGGGAAAAGCTTATGGGTTCAAGAAACAAAGAGTTGCAGGAGGAAGCTGAATACCTAAAGAGTAAATAAAGGCTCTACTGCCTCACTGATGGTTGCCTGCATCTTCTAGAGCTATTATTTGGGGAGGGAAGCTAACCTGGTCCTTTAAGACCAAGAAGACATTTCAACTGTTTTTGCTGCTGTCACTTCATTACATAGATCAATTCATGAAATCCATTCCAAAGGCAGACTCAAAAGTTACTAGAGTGTTATTAGCTATAGAAACAGAATTTTGCAAGTTCAACTGTGCTTTAGAATTCCATCTCCACCTTCACCCTTATACTCATGTAAATTAGGAAGGTGTCTGTCAAGAGTTGCTTGTGCATGCCTTCTTGATTTGGAATTAAACCATGTTTCCTCCCCACCCCCAAATGTCATTTTGGTAGCAGATCTAGCCTATCTCTGCTAAAGACATCCTCCTTTCTTTTACAGCTGCCCATACTGGGATTTAAGAGTAAAACAGATCCTCTATTTTAGGCCCAGACTTGGTGGTGATCCCAAGTGCGGCTGTTCAGGGTGGCCTAGATTTTTTTGGGGGGGAGGGGGGAGAGTAGACAATTGTTTCTTTTGTGTGTTTGTGAGAGAGAGTGTCAAGGTAGGCATTTTCTGAACTTTTTGACATGCTAAGCCCAAAATGTTCCCCATCCCTGTGCTAACATCACACAATCTCAGATGAGTCTGGCAGCCATTTTGTTAGGCCTTCAGAGCCTCAAAGGCCGGGAGTTTCTCTCAAGACAAATGGCTGGGGAATTCTGGGAGTTGAAGTCTATACATATCAAATTATCTTTAGTATGAATAGACCAGTGGTGGGTTCTAATCAGTTTTACCACCGGTTTGCATTGCGGGGGCAGGGGGGAGAGCCCAAATGAAATTCAAAGCGAATTGAATGAAGATTCAATTCTCCTATGAAGATTTCCATTACCGGCTCTCCCGAATCGGGGAGAACTGGTAGCAACCCACCACTGGTATCGACATATCAAAGATAATTGAGTCTTAGGTGGCTGCCAAGTGAAAGGCTTTCTATATTTTTCTGCCTTTAAATGCCATAAGGATTTTTGTCATTTACCGTAATCTTCTCAGATGTGAACTGAGAATACAGGAGGGAGTTCACTGAATTCCCGAATGATCAGAGATTGCTTGCAACTAAAAGTCTTTTAATAATTTTTACATTGCATTCTTTTATCATGCCTTGGTTGATATAATTACGCTTATTTTGGGGGTTTTAAAAAAATGCATATTTCACGGTTGGTTGTGGGCTATACAAGGTATGTACTTAAGGTGACTGGGCATATATATAAATTTTCTAAATTAATTGATTTTGGAATTCACATGAGACGTTTAGCTTCCCATCCCAGTTTATCCATTTACGTATGCCCTATAACCGTGATGGCGAACCTATGGCACGTGTTCCCGAAGTGGCACGTGAAGCCATGCCTGTTTGTATTTCGGGTTTCTGGCGCGCATGTGTGAGTGACAATCAGCTGTCCTTTGCATGTGCGGCAGTGCCGAAAAGCAGTATGTGTATGTTTGCTGGCTGGCATGCGCACCAGAACCTGGAAGTTCAGTTTTTCCACAGCATGATCCCGGCACACGCGCAGCAGTGCTAAAAACTGGTTGGCACATGCATGCCAGCCAGCTGATCCTCAGGCACACGTTTGTTTTTTTTTAATTTGATTTATATGCCACCCTTCTCTGGAGACTCAGGGCAGCTTACAATGCGTTAAGCAATAGCCTTCATACTTTTGTATATTTATACAAAGTCATTTTATTACCCCCATAATCTGGGTCCTCATTTTACCTACCTTAGAAAGGATGGAAGGCTGAGTCAACCTTGAGCCTGGTGAGATTTGAACTTGCAGTAATTGCAGGCAACAGATGTAAGTGGATGTTAATTAGTCTGCTGAGCCACCAGAGCTCATGTGCGCTAGAACCCGGAAGTTCAGCTTTTCCAGAGTGCGGCCTCGATGAGTGCGTGCAGGTGCAATGTTTTCGCACAATCTTTTTGGCACTCGGTGTCTAAAAGATTCACCACCCTATAAGTGACGGCTAACCTTTTCTGGACCGAGTGCCCAAAGTGTGCGTGCACACTCGTGAATGCCCCCGAACCTCCAAAGTGTAATGCGCTTGCACCCCTGTGCATGCGCCCCATCCCCACACGTGCAACACCCCTGCGCATGTCGCCCCCATGCATACACCCCATCCCCATGCATGTGCGCGCCCCCCACACGCCACACACCTCGCACTTGTGCATGAGGCCCCCCGCACATGCCCCCCGGTGCATACTCGGTAGAGACCCGAAGACCAGCTGGCCAGTGGGACGCATGCACACATGAACAGTGGAGTTGAACTGGGGTGATGGCTGGTATGCCATCAGAGAGAGCGCTCGCTACATGTCACTTCTGGCATGCGTGCCTTAGGTTCGCCATCACGGCCCTATAAATAAGGCCCATTGTCTTGACCCAAAGGAAGATTTTGTTTGCTGAAAAGAAGGGAGACACAGCACATGGTTATCCATCAACTTTATTCATTTCCAACATTTTCCATAATTGGTATAAAAATGGGAACGGGGAGAGAGAAAGATGCAGTGTTGGGGATTTCCGATGTCACTGCAAGACATAAATCAGCAGGAAAGCTGCTTATTTGGACAAAGTCCTGCAGCTAAGACATTCCCCCCCCAAAAGAACCCAACAATCGCCATGTTATTGCCACCCCTTCCCTCCCACCCACCTATCCACTTAATTAAAATTCAAGAGTTTAACACAAAACAAGCTTTGGTTACTAGCAGTAAACATGGAGTTACATTCGTTTTGTCTTGCAGGACACAAACATAGAGCCATGCAAGAAATGGTTACCCACCCACCCACCTACCCAAGCCCTAGTACATTCAAATTCCCTCACACCACAATGACCCTGAGCGCGGACATGGCTTTACCCTGCCTGCCATTCACACATTTACTCTTTATGCATAGTGTCCACCACTCTCCAAATTGTATTCTCATTCCTTGTGCCAGACAGCAATTTATTTGTAAGAAGACCAAGCCAAAGACATTTCTTTCAACGTCCAAAATCTCACACCTTCCCATTTTTTGAAAAAAGAGCAACGAAAAGTTACCGCCAATGCTATCCAACCTCACTACAATGAGTTTCAAAACATGATTTTTCCATTCTATTCATTGCTCTTACAGATAAATCACCGTTATCCAGAAATCCAACGATCTCAGCAGTTACAAGAGAGATGGGGAGAGGGGGCTTCACCAGCTCTCACTTGGCAGAATTGCAATAAAGTACAAAGAGGGAATCCTACCCCCATTTCTCTGGTGCAAATACAACCCCCTGCTTTGGCTATTTTTCTTAAGTTTGTAAACAATAATCCAAGAAGAAATTGGGAAGAAATCGGACAACTTTACATGAGATATTTACACAGACTAAACATCTAGAAAGAGGAACAAGTGTCACTTCGCCTTCCTTTTCTTCTTAATAAAAAGCAGATACAAAACTACAAGGTGCCACAATCTAAATTTTGGGCACGGCCTAGGGAAGCATTCGTTCTTTGACCAATCTAGAGCAAAGTAACTTCCCTAATGGGTTCTATTGTATTTGATGCCTATTGTCATCAAAAATGATCCTGAGGTAGATACAGTAGTTTCTTCACAGCAACGTTATCAAAATTAACCACCTGCATATTTCTCACCATGTCACTGCCATGATTTCTGTGATGGGTGAGTCAGGGGGAGGAATTATATGGAAGTTTTTAAGTTGTTCGGCATCTCTTGAATTGTATTGCTCAGTTCTGTAAATCCCCAAAACACCTTTAGTTTTCGCTGCTCCACTTAAATGTTTTTAAGAGTGCTGCGTACTAAATTCACACCTTAGTAGCTGCAAGAAAACTATTTACTTTGATATCAAACAGCAGATCCTACACAACTTCCTAAGATGAGCAGAGAAGAAAACTGGGAACTTGGGTGCTCCAAAATACAATTCAGTGTCCCAGCCAGCATAGCTAATACAGCTATGATTTATCAACATCTGCAGTATTACATGCTCTCACTTGCTGCCTAACCAACCTAACTCTCCATCTTTGCAGCTCCCGTCCTGCTTGCAATATCACCTCCAGCAGGCAAGTCCTACTATTCAGCAGAGTGAAATGACATCCTTAAACTATGGGTTTGGGGCAAGAGTGAGAAGGCAGCAAATGAAATATAATTTCTCTTTTCTTTTCCTGACAAAAATATGGAAAGGAGAGATGGATTTTATTTTTATTTTTTTTTGTCTATCTCAAATAATTCATGGGGCTTGGAATATAAGACATCCTGACCTGGATGAGTGGAAGTGTCTGCTGATGTGCCTGACACAGCAAGTACATTTCTCTACTTTCAAGAGGTGTCAAAGTTTTCTGACCAATTTGCAGATTCTCCCCTTTCCTATCCCAGCTTCTTAGACTTTCAGAATCTGAACATTACATCAAACTGACAGGTAAAGGATCTTATGGGTCTTGACTCTAAAATGCATGAACAAGGAATTCTGCTAGAGATGAGATGCAGAAATGGTCAATGTCAAAAGGCTCAAGGATAGGTGGAGCAGAGGAGGAGATCCTATCAGGCACCAAAACTATCCTAGGGTATAAATTGCATCACCAATATTATGCACAGCTGAGGGCTATCCTTCCCTTTGGCTTGTTGGTCCACGGGCAGTCCTCGGAGAAGCCTTTAGCTGATGCAACTTTGGGGGGAAGCCCCGCAGAAGTATCTCTACGTGGAGACTTTCCTCTGAACTGTGCCACAAATCCTTTTACCTTCACTTATATCCAAAAAAAGGGAAAAGAAGAAATCTACTAAAATACAGCATTTAGAAACATCAACGCACTCATCACACACAGAGATTGTTAAAGCTAAAAAAAAAAAATTTTAAACAGAGGCTTTCTTATTCTTTGTGCTGTTAAACGTTGATCCATTCAGCCCCAGAGCTGCCAAGATTCTTCCATCCCTGAGATGTGTGAGAATACCTGAGAATAAATTGCAGAATCGTGTCGTTGTTTTTTTTTTTCCTTCCTTTTTTTTTTCCTCTTAAAAGTTTAAAATATACAAAAATACAAAACGGAATATTTATACTTTTAAAACAAGGGAACATTTCCCCTCCCCTCCCCCCAAGGAAAAGCAAAATAACAAAATAAACAAACCCAAAGATACGTCATTCACGCACATCGTAGTGCAGATTTTCACATCACGGCTTCAGAGCAGAGAGGGTCCACCCACCCTCCCTCCGGCTTTTCACACGGCAAGTCCAGCTGTCCGCGGGAACAAAATAAATTAAAGGCAGAGCTACAGAAGTTAAACTGGGCAAAGGAGCAGCGGTTTTTATCTGATGAGTGGGCTGGACAAAGTAAACACATCTTTAAACTTAGAAGCCTTGTACTCTATTTAGAGAATGAAAAATATGTAGGTCGCATGGATGGCAATATTTGATATATGCCAAATTTGCATTTCTGTGTCTATGTGTTTGTAGTGTGTGTGTGTGTGTGTGAGAGAGTGTGTTAAACATCTGAATTAGCCAAACAAGCACATGCAGGAAGGAGCATGGCTATATTACTGCATGGCACAGTAGCTACAGTAAACAGATCTAATCCTTCAGGTTTGTTTTGGCAGAAATTGGACTCCTGCGCCTGCCAATGCTCCTTCAGGTCCCATAAACATCTAAAAGCATGTGGCTCTTACTTTTCCCCAACAACAAAAGAATCCCAGGTCAGATATGAAAAAGGAGGGGATTTAGTTATTTTCTGTTAAGAGAGCAGGGAGCAGGCAGTTTGGGGAGTCGGTTTCACTACAGACTTCTAAGGTGGGATTTCCTTGAGCCTCAGATTGTCTTAGAGAGGGGGCCCTGCCAGTTATCTTATTTGTATTCCAATGCTCTTGTCGATGTGTGGAAATGACATACACACACACACACACACAGACAGACACACAGACAGACACACACACAAACACACTTAACTCAAGTACAAACGCATCCTGAGATCCATAACTTTTTGCATTTTCTTGATCTTGATTCCTCAGATTCCACACCCACTAAAAGGAGAAAAAGGGTCCCCCCCCCACTTCCACTCAAGTTTTTGCCTTTGCTAAAGATAAAAGCTGCTGCTCTCCTGCCCAGTGCTTGTTCACCCATAGCTTGGAGCCCATGCTGTTCTCTGCTCCCATTTTGGCTGACTTGATGCCCTGAAGCCGGTCAACTGGGCAGATTTCCTACGGATTTCCAGAGATCATTCCCTGGTTTCGGGAAGAAAGGGTGAGCTGTGCATTTCTTCCTCCTCCCGGAAGTATGTGGGTTTTCCCTGAGAACTGGGCGACTGCTGCGTTTTGATCGGGCAGTTGGCCACCATGTGGGCGATGCTTTGGCAGAAGTGGCATTTCTTAGGCTGAGGAGGGAGCTTGCATTCTTTGGCATGATGATCCAGGCCACCACAGTTGTAGCATCTGGGGGAAAAAAGAGGAAAACAAGATGGAGGGGAAAGCAGGAGGGTTATTCCAGGAAAGCTGTAGCTGTGTGTATCTCCACAACCTAGCCAAAGCAAAGGAGGAGAATTATATCATTCTGTGTTAAACCTAGGTAGCAGAGCCCTGGTGACCTTGGCTGATATCAGTAAAGGAAACCTCATAGCTATAGGCTAGACCGGGAAGTCAAAGAAATATCAACAACACTCCCATCATTTTTCAGATTCTCTCTCTCTCTGTCTCTCCCTCCCCCTCTCTCTCACACACACACACACTCTGCTTCAATGAACCAATTGCTCCCTCAAGGGAGAGTAATAAAGGGAGATCCAGCAACTTTCCCAGAGATAGATCTTCAAAAATTGGATGAATTAAAAGAATGCATAAGTCTTTTTCAACCACTAGGGGGAACTCCCCCTATTCCTATTAATAAAGACTTTTTTTTTCAACAATTGTGGAAAAGCAAAGATAAGACATGCGGCAGTCTCCTGCCCATGTCCAGATGTTTTGGACTGTGCCTATCATAAACTTTCGGTTTTGGTTTTGCAAGCTTGCAACTGATGGGAAAATGTTATCTGAAAACATGTTAAGAACATCTGGTTTCCCAACCAGACAAGCGGGAGAGATTTTTGTTGGCCTTCAGGCGTGTTGGGACATTCCTCAGCAAGTGGGCTATAATTCAGCAATAAAAGCACCGCTGTTCCATGCATCCATCCTCCCAACTGTATTATGTTGGTAGAAGAAGTGGATTCTTAAATAGTCTGGTGCCCGTTTAAGATATTAGAGGGCCAGGAAGAAGAGACGACCCTGAATCAACCAAGGGTGTAGGCCAGGGGTCAGCAACCTGCGGCTCTGGAGCCGCATGTGGCTCTTTCACCCCTCTGCTGCGGCTCCCTGTCACTCAAAATATGCATCGCAACCGCCAATGTGCGACACCCACCGGCATGCGATGTACTGAGCTTTTCAACCCCCGGTAGGCCAACCATGGATAAACCCAAGAAAAGAAAAGTTTCAGAAGAAAACAGAATGTTTAATTCAACTACATATGCTAGTTTTGTGGCCAATCCAGAAATAGTCAGGGACAGGAAGGGTTTTGTGGCTCCCGGTGTTTTCTTTTCTGTGGGAAACTGGTCCAAATGGCTCTTTGAGTGTTTAAGGTTGCAGACCCCTGGTATAGCCTAAAGGCTTGTGTTTCAGTCAGTAAGGCTCACCCCATCTCATGGGTTTATGCACACACTAAACCAGGGGTCCCCAACCTTTTGGACTTCAGGGACCACTAAATTCATAATTTTAAATCCCACAGACCACTAATATGATCTGCCTAATGACTGGCTGGGTGGGTGGGCGTGGCCAGATAGTCATGTGACTGGATGGGCTTGGCCAAGTTGATGTCATGTTGAGGGGCACCTCACCGGCCTCTACTCACCCCTCCCCTCCTAACTACTCCTCGCCTGCTCGCCCAGGCTCCTTAGGGCCCCAACAGGAAGCAGTTGTTGGAGCTAAGCAGCCACCATGAGAAAGAGTTGGCAAAACAGCTGGACTACGAGCATAAGCTTTCCAAGCAGAGGGAAGACCTCTGCGGGAGTGCAAGGTCAGGTACCGGCGCCTGGAGGCTCAGCGGGTTGAGATGGTCAACCAGTTCCAGGCCATGATGCAGTCCCACTGGAACAAGGCCCTCCGGTTCTTCGCCACCAGCAGCACTTCCCTCCAGCCTTTGCCCAAAGACCCACACCAGGAAGCTGAAGCAGACCCCAAGTCAGAATTTCCGCCCCACTCCGACCCACACAGAAAGACCCCAAAGGGGGAGACTTTCTGCAGCAACACAAGCGTTCATTGCACGTATCCGGCCCAGGGGCCATAGTTTGAGGACCCCTGATTTAGTGCAATATAAAAAATGCAGATAATTTTTCTTGCGGACCACCAAAATTTTCTCACAGACCACCAGTTGGTGACCGCTGCACTAAACTCTTAAATGAGCAAGTGGTCCGAGTTCATGCAAGCTGCTAGCAAAAAGGCCTAAACTTAACCTCTTATTATGCTATGCCAAATTGTTAGATCTGTAACAGCCGGTTAACAATTGTAGAAATACAGCCAGTGTAAGATAATCTGGTGCCTTCCGGATTTGTTAAGAATGCAACTCCCACAGCCACTATGATATTTAGAATATCTGGAAGGCTGGGGACAAGTGTTATAAAATATATATTTTTCCATGTACTTGCTGTGGGGAGTCTCCCTGAAGTTCTCTTCCGAGGGTGCCCGAGGGATGAGCCATCCTGCAAGCACATGAATGGTAACGGGTTGGTCTATTTCTATTCAGCTGGGGTGTGTGTGTGTGTGTGTGTGTGTGTGTGTGTGTGTGTGAGAGAGAGAGAGAGAGAGAGAGAGAGAGAGAGAGAGAGAGAGAGAGGGAGGGAGGGAGGGAGGGAGAGGGAGAGAGAGAGAGAACTCTGACCTTTTCCTTTGTTGCCCTAGGAATCTGCATCTGCCATTCACTTAAAAAGCCAAAAGGAAGCAACTTATGCGGAAGGAGGAGACAACTGCTGGCCAAGCCTCCACCAAAGGTAAAAAAACTGGCTGGGAATGATGGGACATATAGTCAAAACACCTCCAGAGAAGCACCAGATTGGGCGAAGCTGAATTAAAGGCAACTAATTTAAGCAAGTTGGTGGTCTTTGTGTAGGCACGTGTGCATAGCCGCATATATTAGAGCCGTGATGGAGCAGTGGTTAGAATGCAGTATTCTGGACTGCTAACAGTTCGATCCTGACCGGTTCAAGGTTGACTCAGCCTTCCGTCCTTCCGAGGTCAGTCAAACGAGGACCCAGATTGTTGGGGGGGGGCAATAAGCTGACTCTGTAAACTGCTTAAAGAATGGTGTAAAGCATTATGAAGTCTAAGCGCTATTGCTATTATGCTGGATCTGAAAATGAAAAGGGTTCCAGAGGGCAGGGCAACACATCCAGAGCACTGTCTGCCACTCCTTTAAAACAGACATCTCTAAGAAACCAGACCATTCAAACGACCAATTAACAAGAGAACCAATCAGCTGCTCAGAATTTAAATATAGCTCCAAATGAACAACCAATCACACACGACCCACTGACTACACTGGCACACAAAACATTTATCTTGTGTGCCAGTACAAGGCACACAATAGGACAAGAAAATCCGGCTGATGAAGTTATGTAGTCTGGTAATGAAACCTTCAGAAACTAAATTAAAGCAAGCTTGGAGAGCAAACCACTGCCAAAATCTAAAACCCGAACTACAAGTATTTTCTATTATTACAAACATCTGCTAAACATTTGCTAAACAAATAATTCCCTCAACACACTCGAACTAGTTACTGAGTCTGCATTACTATTAATCTTCTAATCGTTCCTATCACCCATCTCCCCCCACTTATGACTCTATGACTGTAACCTTGTTGCTGGTATCCTTACGATTTATATTGACTGTTTCCTAATGTGTTTGATTGCTTTTTTGTTCCCTATGACTATCATTAAGTGCTGTACCTTATGATTCTTGACAAATGCATTTTATCTTTAAGCATAAGCATATGCACCAAGACAAATTCCTTGTGTGTCCAATCATACTTGGCCAATAAAGAATTCTATTCTATTCTATTCTATCTCTTCTCCCAGGCCTGCACTGGCATGCCTATTTGCCATTCCCATCATGCCAGAAGATATCTGGCAACTGAATACTTATTTATTTGATTTTTATCCCACCTTTATTTTCATAATAAGGTTACTGTGAACATACCTAATGATTCTTATTATTTTTCTCACAACAATCATGTGGGGTGAGTTGGATTGAGAGAGATCAACTAATCCGAGATCACCCGGTCAGCTTTCATGGTTAAGGAGGGACTAGAACTCACGGCCTCCTGGTTCCTAGACCAGAACTTTAACCATTAGACCAGCTGGTTCATTATCTTATTATTATCATCATTATCTTGGTGAGAATGTCAGATGTCAATATTTCTTCCTACCAGCAAATTTCTAGCTCTCGTGATGATGGTGAAAAATGAACATTATTGGAAACTTTAGAAAGCCAAGCAAGGTTTCATTGTTATTAGCTATCTTGAATGAGCTAGCTATAGGTGAGACAGAATCAAAATAATGAAATAAATAAAGAATGCCTGGATTTGCATAATATGCCAAACTACTGAAAAGGGGAAAAAATCATACATCTTTTATAGGTTATGTGGAAAAGAGTTCCAAACTTAATTTAAGTTGATTGTTGTTTCTTTTTCCAGCAAAAAAACAAAACAAAAACCTTACTCTCACAAAACCGATTTCTCTATTTCTATACTCCCAATACACAGAATATCCATTGCATTTTCAAGCTTTGAAATTTTGTTGTAAGTTGAAAGGTTTCCGGACTCACGGAACAAGTCCCTGAACTAAGCCTTACCGATCTCCTTTCGACCTGCGTTTCTGAAGGCTTTTTCCCTTCGGTCTCCTTTCGCTGCCAATGCAGAAAACTCCTCCAGGGCCAGTGACTCGGATGGACTCCAAACCTTTAGAGGATTTCTTGAAAGTGAATTCGACTGCTTCTCCTTCTTTCAAGCTGCGGAAACCTTCCATGTGGAGCTTGCTCTGCAGCCCAGAAAAAGAGCGGGAAGAGCCGTTTAGCCAACAAAGAGGAAATTATAAAATACTGACAAGCAAGGCAGAGAATGTTCAGATAAAATCAATCGTGCATTTTCACTGAATGTGATATGCATATTCACCCACAAATCTGCAATAGATGTTTGATTTAACTAACTAAAGTTTTGGACCACTTGAAAAGGCCACTCCATTTATCATGGACTGGACATAAAATACAAGTTACAAAGCTTTCTCTGCCCAGAAAGGAACACAGTTGGCATGCTGAACTACTTACTTTTATGTATTTTCATGTTCACTGTGTTATTAACAAATTCTTATTTTGTTCCCTATGACTATCATTAAGTGTTGTACCTTATGATTCTTGATGAAGGTATCTTTTCTGTTATGTACACTGAGAGCATATGCACCGACAAGTTCCTTGTGAGTCCAATCACACTTGGCCAATAAAAAAATCTATTCTATTCTATATTTATTGATATATTTTCATTAATACATCTGATCACAGAATGCTTAATTTTGAACTCAGAACACTCCAAGGGCTATTTTGAGCTAGTTGAAAATGTAGGGAACAACACAGAACTTTGAAAGACCCTCAAAACAACAGTCTTCTAATATAACTGTACACAACCAGTTACGAGAATAATATATAACTGTGTATACACCTCATTGAATTTCTTCAGAATCATCATTTTCTGTTTCAAAACATTCTCTGAAAGCAAATTGAAACAGACCAAGAATAGTCCATTCCATTCCACAGTCACGAACAAAAACCTATCTTCCTCAAAATATAATAACATCAATTCAGAAATTTCTCCCCATGCTACAAATGCATCCTTATATCTGTGTTCAGGGGTCAAGTTGGTAGCCCAATCCGGTACCTGCCTGTTGAAAAGCAGCTGCCATTGCATTATAGGTTATTAAATAATATAATTAAAGGGGGTGGACCGTATATCTAACCCAATGTTTTGGCGACTTGAAGATATTGGACTTCAGTTGCTAGAATTCCCCTCCACCAAGTGTCTGCCTGGGGAATTCTGGGAGTTAAAGTCCACACATCTTCAAGTTTTAGGACTGAGAAACACTGATTCAGCCCAACCTCTCTAAAATGAAGGAATCCACTACAGCACTAATAACAGATGACTATCCTGACTCTGATTAAGCAGCTCCAGTGAAACAGAGACCATCGCTGAGGAATCCATTGCTGCACACTTGTGTTATAAGCAATTGTTCCTGACATCCAACCAAAGTCTATTTCCTTTTAATTTAAACACATTGTTGTGTTTCTGCATCAACTCTTCAGAAATTCCCCCCTATCATCTACATTAACAGCTTTTCAGATATTTAAAGACACTGACCTAACCTTCCTGCAGTCTTCGCTTCTCCTGGCTAAACATACCCAACACCTCTCACCATTCCTCTGAAGTTCTCCCTTCCAGGACCCCTTATCAGCTTGGCTGTTCTTCTGTAGACATGTTCCACTTTGTCAATGTCTTCCCTAAAATGTGGTGCCCCAAGATGGATGCAATATTCTAGTAACAGTCTGATCAACATTGGAAAGAAGCTCAATGGAGCTTAACCCCACAAAATTACTTACAGGACTGCAATTAAAATCTTTTCAGTTTTCATAGAGGGTGAGAGATTATAATCCTGTTGTAGTCCGCCGGCAGCCTGCGGACAGCGATGAGGCTGAGGAAGAACATGGGCCAGTCCTGGCGGCTGGGGAAGGCCTGGATGAGGGCTTTGTGTCGGAGGCAGAGATGGGGCCAGGGCCATCGGGGAGTGATGTGCGGACTCCGGAGCCTCCAGAGGCTGACAGTAGAGAGGCAGAGGAACAGGAGGAGCCTGTTCCTAGTGCACGCATGAGAAGAGCTGCCAGAAGGCAGGAGCAGCTAAAGCAGAGGATGACTCAGGAGTAGGGCCAAGAGATGATTAGCCCCTCCCATAAGGCTTAAAAGACCAGCAACAGCTCTTGGTCTCTTTGCCAGAAAACAACCGTTGAGAGAATTGCTTCTTCTTTGGCTGTAGTTATTTCTTCTGTTCCTGAACTGTTGCCAAGAAAAGCCTTTGGCAGTTTGGCTAATTATCCCAAGGTCAGAGATAAAGACTGGTGTTTTGAGGATTTTGCATTTATTTATTTATTTATTTATTTATTTATTTATTTATTTATTTATTTATTTATTTATTTATTTATTTATTTATTTATTTTTGTATACCACCCTTCTCCCGAAGGACTCAGGGCAGCGAACAGCCAAAATTAAAATACATACAATATAAAATTTAAAAATAATTTAAAAACAGAATTAAATCGAATTGGCTTCCCAAAAGTTAAAACCCATTACCCTTAAAATAACCCATTAAAATTTTAAGCCAGCCCAGCTTGCTGAAATAGGAAGGTCTTCAAAGCTCGACGGAAGGTCCGGAGGTCCGGGATCAGTCGTATTCCTGGGGGTAGCTCGTTCCAGAGGGCGGGTGCCCCCACAGAGAAGGCTCTCCCCCTGGGAGAGATTAATTTAGAATACGCTGAGAATAAGTTAATTCTCAGCTGTTTTAATAAAATCTGTTTGATTTTTGGAACTGTTTTGCATTTAATATCAACTACGTGGGCCTGGATCACAACAAATCCCTGGAGATCTGTCTACCCCACCGAACTGACCCCAGTCGCCAAAGAAAACCCACAGTAGTCCTAGTACTATTTGGTCAGTTTCTGTCATCACCTCCCCACTGTGATCCTTATCTCCCCTCTTTATATTCCCTCAAAGCCCCTCTAGGTTATCAGCTTTGGATTCAACGCAAAAAGGCTTTGAAACACAAGGGGGTACCCATGGAGAACTGTCAGCAACTCCTTCACAAGCAGCCAACACTTGATACTCAGGATCCAGAAGGATCTTGACAGAAGTTGTGTATCGAGCCCTATTCAACAAGATACAGTTCAACAATGGCGAGAAAAGTAAGGACCAGCATCTAGGGAGGAAAAACCAAATCCATAAGTATAGAATAGGAGATACCTGGATCAACAGCAGTAACTGTGAGATAGATCTAGGTTTCCTGGTGGACTACCACTTACGTAGTGTGTTGCAGCCATTTTCGCTCTCCCCAGGCTCCAGAGGCTTCTTGGAGCCTGGGGAGGGCGAAAAACAGGCCTACCAGGCCCACCGGTAATCTTTTTGCTGTTGCATGCCAAAAATGGGGGGAGGGGGGGGGTCGCACACACATGCGTGGGTGAGTGGGGCACAGGGGGCATTGAATTATGGGCGTGGGCACACACGTGCATGACCCCCCGCACTCCCCCCGTTTTTGGCACGCGACGGCAAAAAGGTTAGCCATCACTGGTATATGGTCTCCTGCATTGAGCAGGGGTTGGACTAGATGACCTCCAAGGTCCCTTCCAGTCCTAGTATGATTCTATGTTCTATACTGCATTTTTTTCCCTCTGCTGCTTCAGCACAATCCTGGAAAATATCTGATGTCAAGAGTTGCAGACCAGTGCTACCTAGATGTCCCTGTGTTTCTGGAAAGTTGTGGTGGTGAGGTTTTTTTTTTTTTTTCTCTCTTTCAAAAGCACTGCATGGCATCTTTATTCAGATTTTATTAAAACAGTCAATAAGGTCATTCTCTTAGCCTTATGTTAATTACTCAGGGAGTTAATTCTGATTCGATGTTAAAACACATCTGCAAAACCCAGCACAATCAGAAACAGTATGGATGTCCACAGACTCTAACCAATTAAAACTTTAATCAGCTTGATTGGAAGCCTCCTTTGAACCCCTTTATTTGTTTGAACCACAGATCAGGTCTCTAAAGACCCTCTCCTAACACTTTTCCTAATTCATTCTCAACTATAAGAATAGATCAATTATTGTTCTGCCTTGTTCTGTAGCCTCAGGAGCTCTGAGGGCTTTTTCCCCTCACTTCACCCATTTTGGGAAGCTTTTTCCTAAACTTCATTTCTATTTTTTTAAAAAATAATTTTTATTAAACAGTTTGTCTTTAAGAACAACACAAAAAACAATCACACATATATAAAAACAAAACATGTCAAACCATAACATACTGAACATTATATAACATTAATGGTAATTTTACAGCATTTTGTATCAACTTACGTACTTTGCTTTTGTAGTTCTCTATTCTATCATTTCTATTTACTACTCAATAGTAGAATAATCGAATTACTCCTATACACACACACACACACAGAGTAATATTCATTTGTTCTTATCTATACATTTATGTTCGTTTATATTTACCTCTCTTTATTTAATGTTGTTCAGTTACTTTAAGTTTCATCAGTATTAAGTTAAACATTTCTTGTTCTGATTTCTCTTTTCGAGCCAAGTGTACATTTTATTCCATATTTCATAATAGTCCGAATCCTCTCTTTCTTTCAATTCCATAGTCATTTTATCCATCTCTGCGCATTTTAGAATTTTCCTAATTACAGTTTCATATGATGGTATATTTTTTTGTTTCCAATTTTTTGCGAATGTGATTCTTGCTGCGGTAAGTATGTGCAATATAATGTATTGAAGGTTTTTATTCATTTTCGGGTCCTCTTGCCAAAATAGATTTGAAACCTGAATTGTTTTTATTAGGAATACTGGACCCGAAAATGAATAAACTTCATTTCTAAATTCCTCAACCACTTCATCTCAACTTTTACAAAGAAATATTTATTTATGTATATTTTTGTGCTGGTCAAGTATGAAAAGTGAAACGATAAATCGTGAGCTCGTTTCTCATACAAATTTCATCACCGATATAATGAATTCCTGTGTTATACTTTTGTTGTTGTTCACTACCCTACTACACTAGTAGATAAGCAGTTAATATACATTTACAAAATAAATAAAAAAATAAAATAGCTGCTACGTCTTTTCCAACATTTTTGAGGTAGAGATAATGACCAATGTATAGCGACAAAAAATGACAAATGATTTTTCCTGGAATTGATCTTCGCAATTAGTAAAAGTTGACAAGCAAAAAGAAAA